CATTAACTAACATTAACAAAGATCAAATTATCAACTCTAACTCCTCCTAGAGCTTTAACTCTACAAACTCCAAACTCAGCCCAGATCTTCAGACTGATCTGACTGAGTGTGCTATATCTTTTCTAACTGATCGGACTTACGGTTTTCATAAAAATGAAGATTAAAAATCATAAAAATCCCATAGACTTACATTGATGGAATGTTCTATATCTATCTATCTAGCTATCTATATCTTTATAGCAACACTCTAGCAACTAGCCCAACCAACCTAGCAACCACCCCAAGAACCCTAGCAACTACATAGCAACACCCTAGCTACCACCTGGGCACCTAGCAACCGCCCAGAGTACCCTAGCAAAACCTTAGCAACCACCCCAAGTACCCTAGCAACCGCATAGCAACACCTTAGCAACCACTCTGGGTAGCCAGCAACCACATAGCAACATTCTAGCTACCACCCCAAGTACCCTAGCACCACCTTAGCAACCACCTCAAGTACCCTAGCAACCGCATAGCAACACCCTAGCAACCACTCTGGGTAGCCTAGCAACCACATGGCAACATCCTAGCAACCACCCCAAGTATCCTAGCAACCGCATAGCAACAGCCTAGCAACCACCCCGGGTACCATAGCAACCGCATAGCAACAACCTAGCAACCACCCCGGGTACCCTAGCAACCGCATAGCAACACCCTAGAAACTTCCCGAGTACCTTAGCAACTGCGTAGCAACACCTTAACAACCGCCCCAGGTACCATAGCAACTGCATAGCAACACCTTAGCAACCACCCCGGTTACCCTAGCAACCGCATAGCAACACCCTAGCAACTGCCCTGGGTACCCTAGCAACCGCTCTAGTAACCACCCCAAGTACCCTAGCAACCACCCCAGGTACCCTAGCAACTATATAGCAACACCTTAGCAACCATCTATCTATCTATCTATCTATCTATCTATCTAATAATAATAATAATAATAATAATAAATTTTATTTTATATAGCGCCTTTAAAAGTAGCATCTCAAAGCGCTTTACATACAGTGGGTACGGAAAGTATTCAGACCCCCTTAAAATTTTTCACTCTTTGTTATATTGCAGCCATTGCTAAAATCATTTAAGTTAATTTTTTTTCTCATTAATGTAGGGTGCTGTGTGTACATTAATGAGGAAAAAAAATTAACTTAAATGATTTTAGCAAATGGCTGCAATATAACAAAGAGTGAAAAATTTAAGGGGGTCTGAATACTTTCCGTACCCACTGTAGATGCACCAACCAAGTTACGGTGTTCATTAAACAGAATGTCTGTAGAGAGAAAGTGATTAACGCAAATTTAATGCAAAAAAAAAAATATAAAAAAAATAAAATATATATAAATAAAAAACTTAATGCTACTCAAGTGAAGCTACTTTGAAGAAGAAAAAAAAAAAAAAACACATCATCGTTTGGTCTTATTCATCAAAATGAACTAGTCAATAACATGATTGGCTCTTCTAATCACTAATATTGGGAGAACACACATTGAAACAAACATAAAAACTAATTCCTGCAACTGAACAAGGAATAAAATATTAAAACTCACCTTGCTATACTAACTGGTGATAAAGAACCACCAAAAGAGTACGTTTAATCAAGCCCATTCTTTACCACAAACTTAACCACTGAGACAGCCAAACTAACTATACATATAATTCCAACCAAACCAGGACTTTTAAAGCCAAACAGAAAACAATTTGTGCCACCTGGACAGCTCATTAACTCATTATTACATAATCAGTAAGCACGCACAGCTTGAAAATCATTAAACCTGGGGCCTGTAAAGTGGCTTGGCTTTAAGCAGCGTTCATTGCCATAGTAACTTACACTGCACAGCTGATCTGCTTCAGGGCAGGTTATGTTCTGGGTAAGAGATTTCAAACTGAAGTTGGATCAATCAGGGGCCGGTACCATGATGGTAGATGAACAAATTCAGAGTTACAGGATTAGTTTTGAGTTGACAAAACCAAACCACTCCAATCCGGCTTTGTTGGTACCATAATGCTGATCATCAACTTTCTTTGTCAACTCAGGCTTTGATCCTGAGTTTGTGGAGCGCGTGCACATGAATGTGTGACATCAGTGGCAAACAACCAATCACATGCCTTGCAACACATAGCAAGTGTGATTCACTTCTCGGGAGAGAGCCAGCGAGATTCAAAACTCTTTTCTTAAAGGTTAAGAGATCAAAGAACATGAGGAATATAAATGCATTTACACTGAAGCTTTAATTTGTAGGAAGAGAAACTGGGGGAGTGACTTTTTTGTGTCAGACATGTATCGCTTTGCTCACATCTGATTGGTCCAATTTCAGTTTAGTTTACACCAATCCTGGGTTTTAGGTACCATGAAAGTGACTTGGCTTTTAGCGGCGTTCATTGCCATAGTAACTTACACTGCACAGCTGACCTGCTCCAGGGCAGGTTATGTTCTGGGTTAGAGATCTCAAACTGAAATTGGATCAATCAGCTGTGATCAAAGAAACATATGGGTGACGTCACCTATCCCAGTGTCTGTTGCAATAGCTTCACCTTTTCTACCAAATCCTGTGAACATCTCCGCACAAACTGTTAGAAGAGCACTTCGTAGAGAGAGTTTTTAGAGACAGACAAAATCCCCTAGCTTTTCCTGATACTTGTATGAAAGATACAGACTCTCCGCGGAAAGAAGCTCTTATATTTGCGAACTTCTTGAGCCGCACATAACAAATGCGACACGTCGAAGTCATGCCCTTACTGAACCGTAAATGGTATGTATTGTGTCGCGGTTTTTTGCAAGTGGTACATACTTGTATGCAGTCGGTGATGCAGCGAACCTTGGGAAAAATACGGTTTGTCAAACCATTCGCAAGGTGGTCCTCGCACTGCAGGGGTATATAAATAGCTTCATAGTGTTCCACTGCCGGTAAGATTGATAGGGTGGCAGCACATGAACAGAGTTACATGTTATGTACATGTTATTGTAAATCTTTTTTTTTTATTATTAAACTTATGATAGGATTCCCTAAAGTCCTAAAGTCATAGGAGCAATAGACTGCACACATGTTGCAATCAGCACAGCTCTTGGAGAACATGTGGCAGATTGTGAAGAGAAAGTCCTTTCACAGCCTCAATGTGCAGGTAGGTGTACTGTACATGCAAGTGATTTTTATTTTCAGTGCGATGTATCATTAACACATGACAATGATCTACTGTACATTTCATCTACAAATGACTTCATCATGAACGCATGATCACAAGCTTGGATGCAAAATGGCCTGGCTCAGTCTACGACTCGCAAATTTTCCGTGAGTCGGTTGTGTCAGCGCTTTGAGGAAGGCAAGTTAAATTTGGATCAGTACAAAACAACTTAAAGGGTTAATTTTAATTGACAAAGCAAAACTTATACAATTTCCCCCTTTTCTGTTCTGTGACAGGGCTTTTTGATGGCCTGTTGGTAGGAGACCGGGGTTATGCATGCTAGAGATTTTTTACAAACCCCCTATCCGGACTCAGACAAGGCCACAAAACCGCTTCAATGTGGCCCTCAGTAAAACAGGGGCCGGTACCATGATGGTAGATGAACAAATTCAGAGTTACAGGATTAGTTTTGAGTTGACAAAACCAAACCACTCCAATCCGGCTTTGTTGGTACCATAATGCTGATCATCAACTTTCTTTGTCAACTCAGGCTTTGATCCTGAGTTTGTGGAGCGCGTGCACATGAATGTGTGACATCAGTGGCAAACAACCAATCACATGCCTTGCAACACATAGCAAGTGTGATTCACTTCTCGGGAGAGAGCCAGCGAGATTCAAAACTCTTTTCTTAAAGGTTAAGAGATCAAAGAATATGAGGAATATAAATGCATTTACACTGAAGTACTTGTCCATGAAAGAGGACAAATAAAATGTCAGCGCTTTGAGGAAGGCAAGTTAAATTTGGATCAGTACAAAACAACTTAAAGGGTTAATTTTAATTGACAAAGCAAAACTTATACAATTTCCCCCTTTTCTGTTCTGTGACAGGGCTTTTTGATGGCCTGTTGGTAGGAGACCGGGGTTATGCATGCTAGAGATTTTTTACAAACCCCCTATCCGGACTCAGACAAGGCCACAAAACCGCTTCAATGTGGCCCTCAGTAAAACCAGGGTCAAGATCGAGATGACCTTTGGCATCCTAAAGGCACGTTTCAACTGCCTTCGGCGGTTAAGGGTGTCATCAGAGCGGGCATCACAGATAGTGGCTGCATGTGCCATTCTGCACAATATAGCCACTATCAGAAAGGAGCGAGTACCACCACAAAACCAGCTTCTCCCCGATGAAGTTGACCCCATCACACTTGACCACCCAGCTAGCGCAGCTGTCAGAGATGCAATCACCATTACAATATTTTACTTACTAAAAGCACATTGAAACTGCAGATAGGTCTCAAATGGTTTATGTGGCTAGGGAGGGAGAAAGATCCATTAATAAGTACTGTGTTCATACTAATGTGTTGCTTGGTTTAACAAGTTCACATACGGAGATCTGTTTTTCCAGCTGTTTGATCTCCGATTTAATTTGGAGGCTCCTCAGCTCACAGTCCAGCTCCTTTAGTGTGCAGTCCAATTCTAGGCTCCTTTTGTAAAGGGCCCTGACGGAGTCAGTTTCCACCGGAAACAATTCCACCACAAAAAAAATAAAAAAATAAAAATAAATAAAATTACAAGTTTTCTTAAGGCAAGTCAAATCACAAATGGCATGACTTACAGGCACAGGACTGGCGGTAATTTATGTGGAGGGTTTAAAGCATTACCTTGTTCACATTCCTTCTGAAGCCCATTGAGGTAGAGGCCTCAGTTTCTGGGGCAGGTTGTGAAAAATCCTACAATAAAAGAGATATGGGCCAAGAGGGTGTCTTCATTTGCATCTCCCTAATAAATAAAAGTAGGCCAATGTAAAGCATAACTGTTATAAAGCCATGTTCATAGTGTTCTGTCTGCTGCATGCTCACCTCTGTGTGGGAGACTGTGTGAACATGTGCCGGCTTCAACAGGGACACTGTATTTCCCTCTACTGCAGAACAGTCAGCCACATGTGAAACTTTTTAAAGGTAGTAATGCATTACACACATACCCAGTGTCACTTGCTTGGAGCCAGCACCAGGGTCAGATTGTACAGCACCTGTAATCCCATCCATAATCAGCCACCCCTTATTGCTACTCCGAGCCAGCGCCCTCCCCCAGTTTTCCGAACGTCACTTTCTGTTTGCTGCAAAAAAGTTTGTGAAAATGTTCACTTAAATAATAAAAAGGTTATGGTAAATACTCACCACTTTGAATGATATTTTTATATTTTGTCTTTATCTGCTGCCAAGAACGTTTGTAGTTGGGGTTGCATCTAAAAATCAATGATTATTAAATTTTGAAGTAATTATATACACATTCGCATTTTAATATACAAATACATACATGTACATTTTAATTTCAGCATTTAATATTTTTAAAACAAAACTAACCGTTAACATTACGTCTAATGCACAGTGAAGTAACATGAGTAACTTCAACAACTCTATCTGAATTAACATTAGATTAATAAATGCTGAAAAACTATTGTTCATTGTTAATTCATGTTAACTAATGCATTAAGTTCTCTAAACAAATACAACCTTATTGTAAAGGGTAACCATCATATACACACGCACACATACACATTTTTAATTAGCCTATTGAATGTATTTGCTTAACTTAGGCATTAATGTAATCAGCGATCTTTCCCCAACATTCTTCTCTTGATTCGGCAGCAGAGACCATATTACTGCATGCTTGAAAGACGTTTATACTCCACGTATTTTTGAATAATTATTTCTTGCGTCTCCACGGAAAAATACACGGCTCTCGCTCTATCCATATTGAACACGATTGGTTGTTCGATGCCGACATCACTCTTTTATGTGCATGCGCCCTGGAGTAATCATAGCTTAAGGATCAAAGCCCGAGTTAACACAGAAAGTTGATGATCTGCGTCAAGGTACCAATTAAGCCTGATTGCATCGGTTTGGTTTTGTCAACTCAAAACTAATCCTATAACACTGAGTTTGTTCAGCCACCATCATGGTACAGGCCCCAGGTCAGCTGTGCAGTGTAAGTTACTATGGCAATGAACGCTGCTAAAAGCCAGGCCACTTTACAGGCCCCAGGATTAATGATTTTCAAGCTGTGCGTGCTTACTGATTATGTAATAATGAGGTAACAAGCTGTCCAGGTGGCACAAATTGTTTTCTGTTTGACTTTAAAAGTCCTGGTTTGGTTGGAACTATATGTATAGTTAGTTTAGCTGTTTTAGTGGTTAAGTTTGTGGTAAAGAATGGGTTTGATTAAGCTTGCTATGTTGATGGGTTTTTTTATCACCAGTTGTTATGGCAAGGTGAGTTTTAATGTTTTATTCTTTGTTTGGTTGCAAGAATTAATTTTTATGTTTGTTTCAATATGTGCGTGTTCTCTCAATATTAGTGATTAGAAGAGCCAATTTTATTGACTTCGGTTTGGTCTCATTCATCAAAATGAACTTTTTATTTATTTATTTTTTACTACTTTATTTTTTTTCTTAAAGTAGCTTCATTTGAGTAGCATTAAGTGATGTTTTTTAATAGCCAAATTCCCCAAACATGTCCACCTAGGTTCAGAATTTGAACAAGATTGCATAGCTGCATTATAAAGACTTCTAAAAATAACATAGCCTCCCAAGTCTCTTGTTCATTTGTCATCACTGCTCTGTATTCAGCTCCATAGGTTTACATGACTCTTTGTTACTACAAGATTCTTTCAGATTAAGAAACACCAAATATCACGCGTCACTCCAGCAGTAAAGTAATTTGGCTTTTTTTTTTTTTTTTTTTATTAAATTTGCGTTCTCTGTGAACGGCACCTTGAGTCCTTCTGATTAGTATGTTTCAGGCGCGGTCTAGTTACGTGCTGTCAAATGTGTTCAACCAAATAAAAAAATAATAATTTATGGGGGTGTCTTGTTCAGTGTTATACTTGTTCCAGAGTTTCTTGAGTGCTAAGAGCCTTGTAGAGCTGCTTTAATGTTTTTTTTTTTTTTTTTTTTTTTTTTTTTTTTTTTTTTTTTTTT